ACAGGAACAGCAAGCCAACGCAGCAGCGAATGATTCTGCAGTGGAGGAGGAGGTGGCAGCAGCACCAGCGAATGTCCCTTCTGCAGTAATTAAGAAGGTGTGTCAGATGTGGGAAGAGATTCAAACAACTGTTGAACAGACTCACCCAGAGAAAGCTGTAGTAGGCCGTTGTCTTAATCTTTTCAATGACAATGTGATGCCTTACTACAGAGACAGCTTGCGAAGAAGGGAAAAGCAAGCTTCCATGGACAGATTTGTGGTGAGGAAATCGAGCAGTGAGCCTCAACCAGGACCTAGTGGCACTCAGATAAAACGTCCCAGGGAGAGCACACCAGAAAGGTCCTCACTGCCTGATGTGATTATGGAAGGGGACTCCCCTTCCAAACAGTAACTCCTCTCCTCCTCCCCCCTCCTCACCATCTTCCATACGCCTACAGCACTCGACAGCAAGGTAAGTAATAACTGGAACATAGTTTTGTAGGTTTATTTAGATGAATTAGGTATAAAAATTTAGTTTGATGTGGGGTTTTTGGGGTAGTCAGGAACGGATTAATTCATTTCCCTTTATTTCTTATGGGGAAATTAGCTTCGGAATGCGAGTTTTCGGAATACGAGGCGTCTCCAGGAACCAATTAAACTCGTAAACTGAGGTATGCCTGTAGTTAGGGAAACATATGCACTCTCCAGAATGTAAAGGTTACAACAAAATCAGATAATACACAAAGGAGGAGAGAAAAAACTAAAATCTTAAAAAAAAAAAAAAAAATTGGGTCATTGATGAAAGTAACATACAGGCATACCTCAGTTTAAGAGTTTAATTGGTTCCTGGAGACGCCTTGTACTCCGAAAACTCGCATTCCGAAGCTAATTTCCCCATAAGAAATAAAGGGAAATGAATTAATCCGTTCCTGACTACCCCAAAAACTCCACATCAAACTAAATTTTTATACCTAATTCATCTAAATAAACCTACAAAACTATGTTCCAGTTATTACTTACCTTGCTGTTGAATGCTGTAGGAGTATGGAAGATGGTGAGGAGGTGGGAGGAGGAGAGGAGTTACTGTTTGGAAGGGGGAGTCCCCTTCCATTATCACATCAGGCAGTGAGGACCTTTCTGGTGTGCTCTCCCTGGGACATTTTATCTGAGTGCCACTAGGTCCTGGTTGAGGCTCACTGCTCGATTCCCTCACCACAAATCTGTCCAAACCCTGGCTTTCTCACAAATAATGGCCTCCGAAACACTGTCACCCCTTAACTCCTTGTCATGTATCCAAATTAATAACAACTTTTCCACTTCAAGTATTTATGGTCTTTGTTTCGTTATTGTTCTGACTCCTTTTGCAACTTTAGCGCTCATAATCTCATTTTTCTTCTTAAGTATAGTGCATATTGTTGATGTGGCTTTGTTGTACTGCCTACAAAGTTCAACAACACGTGTACCGTTCTCATGCTTCCGAATGATCTCTTGTTTCTCTTCTATTGTCATCCTCACATGGGCTTTCTGGCCTTTATCCTTACCACTGACTTTCTTGAGACCCATGGTGAGATATATAATAACAAATTGTATAGTCAAATCACCAAAAATCCAACAAAACACTGAAAATCCGCGAGAAGAATTGATGTGGGGTAGTCACTGGGCGCGAGACAATGGTAAACTGAGGGGCGGAGGGGTGGAGGGGCGACGATCGCCGAACCACCACGCGCTAGGTCGGCCTGTACGTGTATCAACAAACTCGCGTCCCGAGGTAACCCTCGCCTTCCGAGACATATTTTTCGAGGAAATTCTGCTCGTCTTCCGAAAAACTCGCATTCCGAGGTACCACTGTACTGTGGTACCTCGGAATACGAGTGTCCCTCTATACGAGTTTTTTGAAATACGAGCAAGATTTGCTCGGAATATTTGCCTCGGGAGGCGAGGGTTACCTCGGAAGATGAGGGTGTTGATATGTGTACAGGCTGACAAGCGCATGGCGGCACGGCGATCGCACCTCAGTTTACCAGTACCTTGCACCCAGTGACTATCCTGCCTGAATTCTCCACAAGGACTTATGTTTTTTTTGTCTGATTTTTGGCCACTTGAACATAAAAGTTGTTATTATATATCTCGCCATGGGTCCCAAGAAAACCAGTGGTAAGGTTCAACCTAAGAAAATAGTGTGGCATTTCGGGCGATCGAGCAGAAACACAGAAAAGTGTATACTCTTTTCACTATCCTGACATTAATTTTCGATGTACGTATTTCATTTTTGTACCAATGTGTTCACAATAGAATGTTCTGGAAGAAGATACATATAAAAAGTTACCAAAGCATGAGTTAGACCAGCACCAAATAAAGAACTACGTTGATCACTAGCCTTGAGCACCAAACAGCGGCGAAATGTTGCTACTCTCATCAGGGTTGTCAACTCCACACTTGTCCTACAGCGTTAATTTTGGCATCACTGTGATCCCAATATAATTCCCTACATGGACATATGCATATAAATATAGAATCAATGTCGCAGCCCACCCGCAAGAGTGTGGGAAGTGGCCGAAGTGTTACCCGTGGCGGCATATCGGCGAAACCCCTATTGAAAAGTGTATATTCTTTTCACTGTTCTGACATTAATTTTCGATGTACGTATTTAATTTTTGTACCAATGTGTTCGTAATAGAATGCTCTAGAAGAACATAAGTATAAAATGTCACACAAGGATTCGTTAGACCGGCACCAAATAAAAAACTACGTCGATTATACTCATGTCAAGAATACAATGGTCTTACCACGATGGTGCAATGCCATGTCGTTCTCACAAATAGGCAATGCGGCTATTAGAGAAAACGGAAATTTCATAGCGAACATTTTTAAACTATCCCAAAGTCGATCGCATAACAAATAGAGTTTATAGAAATATTTTTTCTCGTGACTCGTGAGCGAGTCCACTGTGCGACCTCAACACAAAAAGTGGTAATGCTCTTGAGTGCCGTGATAACGCTAAAGTGTTAAGAAAATGTGTGAAGTATGGGAAGAATTGCAAAGTTTTGTTGAAAAAACTCACCCAGATAAAGCTGTAGCAGGCCGTTGCTTTGAGCTTTTAAATGACAATGTGATGTCTTACTACAGACAAGTGTTAAAATGTAGGGAAAAACAAAAGTATCTTTAGACAGATTCTTAGTAAGACAAGCAAGTCTTAGTGGTATGCAGGCAAAACGTGCCAGAGTGTGCACACCAGTGAAGTCCTCACTACCTGATGTTATAATGGAAGGGGACTCCCGTTCCAAACAGTAACACCTCTCCTCCTCCCCCCTCACCATCTTCCATGTGCCAACAGCAGTCATCAGCAAGGGTAAGTAATAACTTGAACATAGTTTTGTAGGTTTATTTAGATGAATTAGGTATAAAATTTAGTTTGATGTGAGGTTTTTGGGTAGTCAGGAACAGATTAATTCATTTCCCATTATTTCTTATGGGGAAATTAGCTTCTGGTTACGAGTTTTCGGAATACGAGCCGTCTCCAGGAACGGATTAAACTCTTAAACTGAGGTACCACTGTATTAACATTGGACAATGTATTTATATGATATATAACAAAATAGATCATATTAACATAGTTATTCATTATTATTTGTGTTATTATGTATTACTCAGCAATGCTATAAAGGCACCAACTGCATATCCACTTTGTGGACACTTCTTAATACTATTCTTCTTCTTTGTGCGTTGGACAGGTGCTTGCATCTCTTTATTACTGCATAATCCTTCAGTTCCAGTTATTAGGAGCTGTTCTCCTTATCAACAAAACGTTTTTATTTTTTAAAAATTCGTCTAAAATCAATTTCTGAAAATATTTTGATGAAAGTTTCACGACACTGAAGCCAATAAGTTGGAGATTTGTTTAACATTTTTAAGTTATTTTAACGTAATTTGAATATTTTTCGCTAATATACCCCCAATATGCGCGGTCTGTTCCATATGAAAGATTGGAATACAATATGAAGAAACAAGTTGGCATAGCATAACACAGAAGGGGTAAATGTAGAAAATAAGTCATATTAATTGTTTGAGCAAAAATAGAGTGATGACAAGCAGTCAACAAAGATCAGTGTTGGGTCCCCTTCTGTTTCTGATCTATATAAATGACCTCACAAAGTGGAATTACTAATGTCACTTAACCCTTAAACTACTCCTGTTACCCTCAAGAGCTTGATTGGTGGCGCTCCTGTTGCCTGTTGGAGATTTAATGTGTCTTGTAATATCTATGTGGACATTATTCAATACTAGACACCTCTGGCAATCATTTGCCACATTTGCCTAAATGACGAAGAGAGAGTAGTCAGATAAATTAGCAAATTTTTCAGTTATAGCATAGGGAAGCATCAGTCTGGAGAAAAAAAGGGAACATTAAATGTATGGAAGAAAAATCTAATTACCAGAAAACATTAAAGAGAAATAAGTAGCAACATGCCCCAGCATCACCACCAATTGTAAGGGTTAGATGTCAGGTGCTCCTAGCACTGTAAAGTGAACACCACTGCTACCCAGCCTTGCTGCCTTGCTCCTTACCATATCCTGTTCATTGTTCACACTCAATCCCTAGAACCTCATTAGCTCACCTTGTTCACCCATATTATTCTTGCATTTCCTCTCCTAACCTCATATTTGCTGGAATATACTCTTCAATGTTCTGTCATCATTCATTTGTTTAACACGCCCAAACCATCTTCAGTACACATCCTCAATATTGTGATTGACCAACTTTTGCACTAAACTTAATTTTTCATGGCATTTCAGTGTCTTACGCTATTTTCCTAATGCCACATATGCTTCTCAGTGTACCCATTTCTACAGCTCTAAATCTTTTATCTTTTTGTGTTTGTGCCACACCAGTCTCTCATATTGTACATCTTGTTATTCTAACCATAAAAGTGGTGGACAATGCATTCTTTGGATAATTTTGCAACCAATGCTACATTCATAAACACTAAGGTACAGAATATGAAAGAGCTGTAAATACTTACAATTCCTTTCCCAGTAATTAGATAGAATATTTTGTAGCTTCCAGTCTTTTGCAGAGGTTGAAGATGAAGGTAAGACTGATGTGTTATATAACGTGTGCATGCCAGAATATGGTAATGGACGCCGCTGATGAAGCTGTAGGTCAGTCCTGGTGTATATAGCTGATATTGGGACTGCACTACTGTGCTGCAGTAATCCCAGTCCTTCTACCACAACCTCACACATTTTCTGGTAAATGAGACTATGCCATTATAGCACTTATATTTCACATCAAGGAATTATGTGTACACATATATGTACAGTAAAATATTATATTATAATATATATATATATATATATATATATATATATATATATATATATATATATATATATATATATATATATATGAGACTGACAACTCACACCCCAGAAGTGACTCGAACCCATACTCCCAGGAGCAACGCAACTGGTAACTACAGGACTCCTTAGTCCACTTGACCATCGCGACCGGACAAAAAAATGTCAAAATAAATATATAATTGTTATTATTTAGCAATGACAATATTACAGATGACCCATGACTGTAATATAAATAACCAGGGTTGTGATAATAGCAGGATTGTTGTAATAATTAGCGCTGTGGGAGGAGTGATGCTGAGAGACGGAGGGAGACAGCATCGTTTACTGACTGTGTGGCCACCTGTTATTGTTTGCATTCACCATACCAGGTCAGTGGTTCTCTATGGTGAGCACAAATGTAGATACTGTACTTATATATAATGTGTGTATTAGTGTAATAACAGCAAAAGGATTATGCTGGGAGGAACCATATGGGTGACGGAGATGACGTCGTCTGCACGATTTGTCTAGCTGTTTAGAGGGTGGCCAATATGCTCTTTGGGCGCACTACAAGCTTAGGTGTACAGTTACGGTGCATAAAACATGTAGATACTTATATATAATATGTGTATATAAGGTAATAACACTTCAAACAGTATTGTTGGGGGGAGAAAGTTTAGTGCGTGTGACCTTGAATGAGTGAGGGAGCCGCCAAACGCCATCTGTGTATAGCGACGACTCTTAGTGCCTGAACTAACTATATCAGCTTAGCTGTACAGTTGTGGTGAACAAAATATATACATACTTATATATAACGTCTGTATATAGTGTAATAACACCACAAATGGTATTGTTGGGGAAGAAAGTTTAGTGCGAGTGTTGAGGGAGTGGCAGCGAGTGGCTGGCTGGTGTGTGGCGGTAACTCCTCGTTGCTTTTCGACTCTCAATACCAACTTAGTGGTTCGTTATGGTGACCAAAACATGCAGATACTTATATATAACCTGTGTAGAGAGTGTAATAGCAGCAAAACTATTTGTTTATTGTTTTATAAACATAATAATTGAAACACTAATATGCACATCATACTTTTGAGTATAGCGATTATTCACCACTTTTATTATATAAATATATTACAATACACACTATTGAATAATATTACTGCAAAAAAACTAAGAAAAAATCAATCGGAGACATTGAAACAATTAGGTAATAATATCTTTGTGGCAACTCCCACCTGTCAGCGCGGGTGACGCTGACCGGGTCTGACGACCGCTCTGTCAACGCCCACTTTTTGCCAGACTTCCTCGGTCAATTGCGCCCAAAATATGTCACCTACGATTTTTTTTCCTGTGCTCAGGGGACACAAATTAACATGTTTAGAAGATGAAAAAAAAAAAAATTTGAATTTGTTTTTTCTTGCGCACAGGGGTGTAAATGTCCCCAGGACCCCTGAGCAGTGTAAGGGTTAAACAAGCTACGAGGATGAGAGAAGGGGATGTTCCCTTCCTGCTGGATTTGATATTTACCAGGAAGGAGGAAGAGATATTTGACGTTCAGTACCTTCCTCCCTTAGGTAAAAGTGACCATGTCTTATTGGGAATAAAGTATGCTATGCGTTATAATTTGGAAGAAAATGAGGTTGAAGCAGTTGAAAAGCCTGATTTCAGGAGAGGTCATTATGGGGAAATCAGACATTTCTTTAAGGAAATTCACTGGAAAGACTTGCTGTTAGGGCATGAAGTAAATGAGACGTATGTTAAGTTTTGTGAAATATATGATAAAGGCACAAAAAAATTTATTCCAAAGCAGAGATGCAGAACTAGGAAACAGGATTGGTTCAACAGAAATTGCAAGAGTGCCAGAGACTAAAAGATACAAAAATGGAATCAATATAGGAAGAGGCCAAACCCCCAAAGATACCAGCGGTACAGAGATCCGAGAAACAACTACACAGTAGTGAGAAGAGAGGCAGAAAGAAATTTTGAAAAAGTGATTGCAAACAGATGTAAAACATAACCAGGTCAATTCTATAAATTCATAAACAACAAATTGCATGTAAAGGATAATATTCAGAGGTTGAAAATGGGAAATAGATTTACAGAAAATGAAAAGGAAATATGTGAAACATTAAACGAAAAGTTCCAAAGTGTGTTTGTACAAAATGAAATCTTCAGGGAACCAGACACAATAAGAATTCCAGAGAACAGCATAGAGCACATAGAGGTGTCTAGAGACGAAGTGGAAAAAATGCTCAAGGAGCTGAGTAAGAACAAAGCAGTTGGTCCAGATGGAGTTTCACCATGGGTTCTGAGAGAATGTGCATCTGAGCTCAGCATTCCACTTCAACTGATTTTTCAGGCATCCCTGTTTACAGGAGTTGTAGCTGATGTGTGGAAAAAGGTTAACATTGTTCCAATCTACAAAAGTGGCAGCAGGGAAGATCCCCTTAATTATAGACCTGTATCATTGACAAGTGTAATAGTCAAAATATTGGAAAAAATAATTAAAACTAAATGGGTAGAACACCTGGAGAAAACTGCATAATATCAGACAGACAGTATGGCCTTCGATCTGGAAGATCCTGTGTAACGAATTTACGCAGTTTCTATGATCGAGCCACAGAGATTTTACAGAAAGAGATGGTTGGGTAGACTGCATCTATCTGGACCAAAAAAAGGCTTTTGACAGAGTTCCACATAAGAGGTTGTTCTAGAAACTGGAACATATTGGAGTGGTGACAGGTAAGCTTCTAGCATGGATGACAAATTTCCTAACTTATAGAAAAATGAGGGCCATAATCAGAGGCAATGTATCGGATTGGAGGAATGTCACAAGTGGAGTACCACAGGGTAATGCACCGGTAATGTTCATTGTCTACATAAACAATCTACCGGATGGAATACAGAATTATATGAACATGTTTGCTGATGATGCCAAGATAATAGGAAGGATAAGAAACTTAGATGATTGTCATGCCCTTCAAGAAGTTCTGGACAAAATAAGTATATGGAGCACCACTTGGCAAATGGAATTTAATGTGAATAAATGCCATGTTATGGAATGTGGAATAAGAGAACATAGACCCCACACAACCTATAAATTATATGAGAAATGTTTAAAGAATTCTGATAGAGCTCTAGGGGTGGTTCTAGACAGAAAACTATCACCTGAGGACCACATAAAGAACGTTGTACAAGGAGCCTATGATAGTTTTCTGTCTAGAACCACCCCTAGAGCTCTATCAGAATTCTTTAAACATTTCTCATCTAATTTATAGGTTGTGTGGGGTCTATGTTCTCTTATTCCACATTCCATAACATGGCATTTATTCACATTAAATTCCATTTGCCAAGTGGCGCTCCATATACTTATTTTGTCCAGAACTTCTTGAAGGGCATGACAATCATCTAAGTTTCTTATCCTTCTTATTATCTTGGCATCATCAGCAAACATGTTCATATAATTCTGTATTCCATCCGGTAGATTGTTTATGTAGACAATGAACATTACCGGTGCATTACCCTGTGGTACTCCACTTGTGACATTCCTCCAATCCGATACATTGCCTCTGATTATGGCCCTCATTTTTCTATAAGTTAGGAATTTTGTCATCCATGCTAAAAGCTTACCTGTCACCACTCCAATATGTTCCAGTTTCCAGAACAACCTCTTATGTGGAACTCTGTCAAAAGCCTTTTTTTGGTCCAGATAGATGCAGTCTACCCAACCATCTCTTTTCTGTAAAATCTCTGTGGCTCGATCATAGAAACTGCGTAAATTCGTTACACAGGATCTTCCAGATCGAAGGCCATACTGTCTGTCTGATATTATGCATTTTTCTCCAGGTGTTCTACCCATTTAGTTTTAATTATTTTTTCCAATATTTTGACTATTACACTTGTCAATGATACAGGTCTATAATTAAGGGGATCTTCCCTGCTGCCACTTTTGTAGATTGGAACAATGTTAACCTTTTTCCACACATCAGCTACAACTCCTGTAAACAGGGATGCCTGAAAAATCAGTTGAAGTGGAATGCTGAGCTCAGATGCACATTCTCTCAGAACCCATGGTGAAACTCCATCTGGACCAACTGCTTTGTTCTTACTCAGCTCCTTTAGCATTTTCTCCACTTCATCTCTAGACACCTCTATGTGCTCTATGCTGTTCTCTGGAATTCATATTGTGTCTGGTTCCCTGAAGATTTCATTTTGTACAAACACACTTTGGAACTTTTTGTTTAATGTTTCACATATTTCCTTTTCATTTTCTGTAAATCTATTTCCCATTTTCAACCTCTGAATATTATCCTTTACATGCAATTTGTTGTTTATGAATTTATAGAATTGACCTGGTTATGTTTTACATCTGTTTGCAATCACTTTTTCAAAATTTCTTTCTGCCTCTCTTCTCACTACTGTGTAGTTGTTTCTCGGATCTCTGTACCGCTGGTATCTTTGGGGGTTTGGCCTCTTCCTATATTGATTCCATTTTTGTATCTTTTAGTCTCTGGCACTCTTGCAATTTCTGTTGAACCAATCCTGTTTCCTAGTTCTGCATCTCTGCTTTGGAATAAATTTTTTTGTGCCTTTATCATATATTTCACAAAACTTAACATACGTCTCATTTACTTCATGCCCTAACAGCAAGTCTTTCCAGTGAATTTCCTTAAAGAAATGTCTGATTTCCCCATAATGACCTCTCCTGAAATCAGGCTTTTCAACTGCTTCAACCTCATTTTCTTCCAAATTATAACGCATAGCATACTTTATTCCCAATAAGACATGGTCACTTTTACCTAAGGGAGGAAGGTACTGAACGTCAAATATCTCTTCCTCCTTCCTGGTAAATATCAAATCCAGCATGGAGGGAACATCCCCTTCTCTCATCCTCGTAACTTGTTTAA